GCCTCCACAGGTAAATACATAACCTGTTTGAGACCGAGCCTTGTGTGGATTAGATAAATACCCAGCATCAGCATAACCAACCAGATCGGGACTGCAATTGTTTCCATAAAATAAGCCCATATCGGTAATCCCTTTTAGATACCGCAATATGTGTTTGATTCCATTCCAATGTCTCCTTGTAGAAGCAGAGCTATATCTTGCTAAGACATTAACTGAAAAAGTTATGNCCACCGTATAATTACAATTCACAAACAACACAACAACAACAACAATAGTTCACAAAAAACAACCACAACAATTTCTCAAAGAACAATAACAACAATTTATCAAAGAATTTCCACAACCATCAATACTATTTCCATCATGTTCAACAACTCGTATGCATTTTATNTCCGGAATGGATCCTTATTCACATCAAGTGATCGAACAACCATCGGAGTACTTACTGGATGTGCTCCATCCATGTAAAACCGTTTCAATATCTTTTCTATGTAGGCAGATTGATGAACAAAAATTCCGTTTGCCAAATGTTCAATTTGCAAACCAAGATATAATTTTGTCTTTCCGAGATCTTTCATCTCGAATTCCTTCTTTAAATAATCAATTGCCTTTTGGAGTTCTATAGGAGTTCCAATAAGGTTTATGTCATCAACATATACAGCAAGTACAACAAATTCCGATGTTGTTTTCTTTATAAAAACATATGGGCAAATGACATCATTTATATAGCCTTCCTTTAGTAAATACTCACTAAGACGATTATACCACATTCGTCCTGATTGCTTTAGACCATACAAAGATCTTTGCAATTTGATTGAAAACATTTCCCGGGACTTTGAATTATGTGCTTTTGGCATTTTAAATCCATCGGGAATTTTCATATATATCTCATTATCAAGTGAGCCATAAAGGTAAGCGGTAACCACATCCATTAGATGCATGTCAAGCTTTTCATGGACAACAAAACTAATGAGATAACGGAAAGTTATAACATCCATAACGGGTGAATATGTCTCTTCATAATTGACACCAGGCCTTTGTGAAAATCCTTGTGCAACAAGGCGTGCCTTATATCTTTGTACCTCGTTTTTCTCATTTCTCTTGCGTACAAAGACCCATTTATAGCCAACAGTCTTAACACCATTAGGTGTTTGGACTACAGGCCCAAAAACTTCACGTTTTGCAAGTGAATTCAACTTTGATTGGATTGCTTCTTGCCATTTTGGCCAATCAAGTCTTTGTCGACATTCTCCAACAGATTGAGGTTCAATATCCTCACTTTCTTGCATAATGCTAGATGCAACATTATATGCAAAGACATAATCCACCAATATATCCACTCGATTCAAATTTGTCTCAATATCGATTGGATTTATTGATAGTTCCTTATTTGTTTGAGCCTCGGGCTCAGTGGATTCCTCATGAATCTCAGGATTTATTAAATCATGGATTTCTTCATGAAGTTCTTTCGTAGTGTCATTTTGATCATTTGTTTTCCTTTTTCTAGGATTTCGATCTTTGGAACCTAATGGTCTGCCACGTTTTAGGCATGCTTTTGACTCATTAGCTATGACACTAGAAGATTGTCCAATAGGGACATCAATACGGATTTGGAACATTCTCTGCAGGGATATGTGATTTTGTTATCCTTTTCAAATCCATAAATGCGTCTGGCATTTGATTTGCTATTCTTTGCAAATGGATAATCTTTTGCACCTCTTTTTCACAAATAGAGGCACATGGATCAAGATGAGATAATGATGGATTTTTCCACAAAATTTACCGTTTGATTTCACCAACTTCTCCCCCTAATTTTGGGAAAAGTGTCTCATCGAACCGACAGTCTGCAAATCGAGCAGTGAATAAATCCCCCGTTAATGTTTCAAGATAGCGAATAATGGAGGGTGATTCAAACCCAACATATAGTCCTAACCTTCTTTGGGGACCCATTTTGGTGCTATATGGCGGTGCTACAGGTACATATACTACGCATCCAAAAATTCTTAAATGGGATATATTAGGTTCAGGACCCAAAACTAGTTGCAACGGGGAATATTTATGATAATTTGTCGGTCTGAGACGAATTAGCATTGCTGCATGCAAAATGGCATGACCCCAAATGGAAGTGGGCAGCCTCGTTTTCATGAGTAATGGTCTTGTTATCAATTGCAGACGTTTAATTAAAGACTCTGCAAGACCATTTTGAGTGTGAACATGAGGTACAAGATGTTCCACTTTTATCCCAATTGATAAGCAATAATCATTAAATGTTTGGGATGAAAACTTAGCAGCATTATCAAGTCTAATAGACTTAATTGGATTATCGGAAAATTGTGCCCGTAATCGAATTATTTGTGCCATTAATTTTGCAAACGCGAGGTTGCGAGATGACAATAGGCACTCATGGGACCATCTAGAAGATGCATCTATTAAGATCATAAAATGTCTAAACGACCCACTAGGTGGGTGAATAGGTCCACAAATGTCCCCTTGTATACCTTTCAAAAATGCAGGGGACTTAATTCCAACCTTTGTTGGTGATGGTCTAATAATTAACTTGCCTTGATAACAAGAAGTGCAAGAAAATTCATTATTTAAAAGAATCTTTAAATTCTTTAATGAATGCCCATTTGAGTTTTCTATAATTCGTCTCATCATAATTGATCCAGGGTGTCCCAATCGATCATGCCAAAGTACAAAAGTATTGGAATCAATAACCTTTTGGTTTACGGTAGAATGTGCCTCAATTGCACTAATTCTTGTCCAATACAGGCCACAAGATAAAGATGAGAACTTCTCAATAACCCTCTTTTGGCCAGAGACATTCTTGGTAATGATGAGATATTCAAGATTATTCTCATCTATTGTCTCAATATGATATCCATTTTGACGGATATCTTTAAAACTCAACAAGTTCCTCTTGGACTTGGAGGAGAACATTGCATTCTCTATGATAAGTATTGTTCCCTCAGGCAAAGTTATAGTAGCTCTTCCAGAGCCTTCAATTAATTTACTACTACCAGAAATTGTAGTAACATCTGTCTTACACATATTTAAATGAGAGAAATATTTCTTCTCTTTGAATATTGTATGTGTCGTACATGAATCAATTAAACAAATATTTTTACAATTAAACTTTGATCCAAGTTTGCTTTGTGGAATATCCATATTTGCTTCCCATGGGTTGACATACAAAAAGAAATATACGAATAAACATTAGTATTTTCTGAGATAAAGAAAAAGAGACAATTTTTTTTTGAGTATTAGACGCATACAATGTTATATTGGCAGCAGCGGAGACGAGATTCACAATTATTAAAGACAATATTATAATGGTCTCCTGACTTATCTTAATTGATTTGTGGTATAAAATAATTTTGATTATACGGCAGATTCTCTTGAAATTTGCCCTAATTATCCTCACCTTTTGGTTGATTAAGAAAAATGAAAATAAGGGATATGGTTTACAGCACATCTGAAAATTAACTAAGATGATTTGGTTGTCAATTTCAATAAACCAAAGAATGAAAGCCGTTCATATTTAGTTATTTCAAAACCAGTAATTAAATATTTTCTTCACATTACAATATTACTTCAATAAAAATTATGTTAATCCTTAAAAACTAACCAAACTGAACTATTGATCAAAATAAATAGTAGAACTATATTTAATTAAAACGAACTAACATTTTCATAAAACAAATAATACTAATTGATACTAATGACTACTACTCATGTAAAAAATTATGATTACATGATATTTATTCACTAGCTACTACGAATAAGAAAAATAAAAATTAAACTACTTAATCTTCTTTAACCACGGATCCATCACCGATCAAGTGGTCTATTTTTCCATCAGGGTGCTCAAAAAAATCTGCCACATCCAAGTGGGTGATGTTAAATTTATTGTCATAGACAAGATTAGCTTCAGACCTTTATTCTTTAGAGATGCTTGATAAAGCTCAACAAAATGTCTTGGTACACGACAAATATTTGCCCAACGCCCTTTTCCACCACAACGATATCATTCAGTTTCTGAACCATTTGCTTTTGGTTTCTCATCTTTCCCTTTCCACTTTTGGTGGTTATTTTTCTTTGGGGGGTGATTAATACCAGGAAAATTTCTTCCTTGTACACGGCCACGGTCATGACCACGACCACGACCACGAATAGGGCCACGGCCTTTTCCACGCTTAGCATAATGAGAATACACCTCATCCACTTCAGGCAATGGTGTAGACCCAGTGTGTCGATTTTCGTGATTTCTCATGCAAGACATTGTTTCGCTCAGCCACAAGGAGAAGAGAAATCAGCTCAGAGTACTTCTTGAAACTTTTCTCTCTGTACTGCTGTTGCAGAACCATATTGGAGGCATGAAACGTTGTAAACATTTTTTCAAGCATATCATAATCAATGATAGTATCTCCACAGAGTTTCAATTTAGAAGTAATTCTGAACATCGCAAAATTATATTCAGAAACAGACTTAAAGTTTTGGAGCCTAAGATGAGCTCAATCTTATCGTGCTTGTGGAAGAGTGACCAACTTTAAGTTGTCATATCTTTCCTTTAAGCCATTCCACAAAACAAGTGAATCTTTGATTGTGAGATATTCTATTTCAACCCTTCATCAAGGTGATGGCGCAAGAAAATCAAGGCCTTAACACAGTCTTGGGTGGATGCTTTAGTTTTGTCTTTAGTGACGTCTCCAAAAACCATTGCATCTAAATGGATTTCAGCATCCAACACCCATGTCATATAGTTCTTGCCCGAAATTTCAAGGGCAACGAACTTTCTTTTCATAATATCAGTCATAATTAAAAGAGAAGAAAAGTTGTACCTTAATCTTCTTGAGACGGTAGAGTCTCGTGCTGATAACGTATTATAAAACAATAAAAGTAGAAGAACAATATTGCAGAGAAAGAGAGAGAAAATTCTTATTGAATTTTGGGATGATTTACAATGGGGTAAGACCCCTCTATTTATAGGGAAAAAATGACTTAGCCACAAAGCAAAACTCTCTACAAGATATACATTCACTCTAAATAGAATTCTATTCCTAACAATTATAACAATTAAAGAAATGAAATTTTCACAAGAGATCAGCTGAAATTGATCATCTTGAGTCTTCTGCTTCTCTTGATATATCTTGTGATGACGGTAATTGGAGTAGTTGATTTTTAGTTTTCTCCGGTGGGAGTTACAATAGTTGAACGTCTCTTGAAATGGGTAGGCGCAGGCCTTAACCAACTTCGCCCTCCGATCATATTCTTGGTCAGAAATGGTGCAGCTTCCTCGTTCGATAGGCTACGTGACCAACCCACCCTCTTTGATCTATTAGCCCCTGCTCCATAACACTTGTATTCACCATAGTATGCAGTGCTGCCAAAAATAAACATAGAGAAACGAAGAGTCAAACTCAAAATTTGAAGTTAGTAACCTCTTTGAACCTTTTATTCAATGTGACTAAGTTTCTATGAATGTTACCTTTGCTTGGTAGAATCTCCCCAGTCATTCCATCCCTCAGGCTGTATGATAGAGGACATAAATGTGTAGGCAAATACCACCCTCGAATATGAACCCCATGGCCTCCCTAATGCAGTGCTCCCTCCTGTTCCTGTTATCTTGCAACCCAAAAAAGTAAATCCTGTATTTTCTAAAGGGGACTCTCTTCCTTGAGCAGTTATTGCTCCTGCTGCAACTGAATGAATATGGCACCTCTGCCAAATATAAAGAAATTACTACACACATATATGCACTGCTAAGGTGAAAAATATCGACAGAGTCAGATCATTTATAATGTAATTACAGGTAAATATCTACGAAAATATGAATAAGTAACATGAATAAGATGGTAACTAACATGCTAACCTACACTGATAGTCGGAAACAAAATGATAATTTCCAATGATAATTCTTGAATAATGATAACTCACTTCATAGAGAGATGCTGCATTTCCAAAAATGAAATCAACGGCCCCTTCAATATAGCAGTTGCTATAATAATGCCTCCCAGCATCGTCTAACAAAGTGTCCTGGTACGATTGAATTCTACATCCATAGAATGCTACTCTATCTCCTTTAACCTTTAGTGCTACAGCTTTTCCACTTGTTCCGAATGAATTCTACATTTTGAAACAATCAAAATATGCTTTTTGTTATAGTAAAACATGGACTTAGTAACCTGGAAAATAAGACAGATTACCTACTACAACATGTTAAAATAACCTAATAGTGTAAAAATGTAGTCGTATAAAATTAAATCTTAAGTAAATAATAGTTACCTGAATTGTTAGATATCTTGCAACAAAATCGGAAGCTAATACAGTTAGTGTAGGAGAATCAGTAATATCTCCACCTTCACTCCATGTAATTATGGTGTTAGAAGCCTCAGTTCCACTCAACGTTATGAATGGCTTATCACCAGGAACCACAATCTTCTCTCTGCTCCATGAAAAATACATAAGAATTTATTTTAACATCTACTATAATTTTTACATTATCAGACTACCTAAATGATAACTACGTGTGTGACCGCACATAAGAAAAGATCAGTAACTTGAAAAATATTAAGACAAATAATTACCTATTATAACATGTAAAAATACAAGATACTATAAAGTTACAAAATGATAAACACAAACCTATAAGTCCCAGGCTTAACCCAAATGAAGAATAATTCAGAATTATTCGATGGAACAGCATCAATAGCGTCTTGGATTTTCTTGAAATCTCCTTGACCAGATTGGTCTACTCTAATAAGAATGGCCGTAGAAAAGTTTGTAACTCCTCCTGAACTAGAGTCATTAGCAGCCATGGCTAAAGTTGAATTACTATTAGAACAAACTAGTAGAAGTATGAAAAATATAACATGAAATTTGATTATCAATGAAGCAGCATCCATGTGCAATAAATTGTTAATCAAACACCTGTCTCGATAGGGGTGCAGAGAATAAAGTTAATTAGTAAATTAATTAAGAAATGATTTGAAAGTAAAGGTAAAAGCACACCCATAGTTAAGCTTTATAATGAAGGTTTCTTCCTTAATGAATGGAGGCACGCCGGCAGCCGAGAATTAAGGTCAAAGGATTGGTGGCTGACTTTTAATTAATTTTGATGCTGATCTTGAATATTGATTAAGGTCTAAGTTGTTCACCCTTCACGTAACCTTTGCATGCAGTCAAGATTAGTGGAGTATAATTACAGTGAAATGTTGTTCACGGGTTTAAAGTTCTGCCTGCGAGAAATGGTTGAGTTGGTTGTGTGAGCGGTTTCCCACATGAGAGACTTGAGATCGATTCCCCTCACCAGCAGTCTCCTCAGTCAGAGCTCGTCGCACCGGGCATGCCTAATATGATTTACATCTCCTATGTGGTTTGAAAGCTATTGCACAGTAAGAAAATTACGAGTGCGCACTCAAAGAATAGCGACTGCGGTTTCCCGGAAATTTTCCGGAATTGGCAAGATAATCGGATTTTTTATGCCGCAAAATATAGGTTTTCTTTTAATAATAAAAAGAAATTCTCTTAGAATAAAAAAGAAATTTTAAGATGCCCGTGTTTGCTTTCTAGAATACTTGAAAACATGATATAAGGCATGAGTTTGAATCTCATTTGTTATCACACTGTACTTCTTCATCGATCCAAGGAACACTATAGTCAATTTATTAAATCATTTTAGCATATAATGGTATATAATTTACATGTATAAATAGTATAGGAGTAAATGTTTATGGTCAGGGACGGTCCGACGAATTTTGTGGCCTAAAGCCAAATTTTATGAGGGGCCTTAACTTTTTAAATTTTATTTATTTATTTATTTGAAGTTTATTTTTAAACTTTTCTAAGATACAAAGTAATTGATAATTTTCTTATAATCAATAACTCATTAAGTATTTTTCATTTGACAATATAGCTAAACCATTTAATTTTCTTGAGACATTGTTGATGTTAGGTAAGATTTTATCAATTTTAGTTTTCACAATTTCTTTCCGCTGAAGAACGGTAATAAGAGTTATTAACATTATTCCATAAGAAATATAGACATTTGGAAAAGAATAAAATATTTATATTTGAATGAGTGTATCTATTAAATTGATACTCTATCTTCTAATTGTACTATTTTTCATGATACTTTTAATTCAGAAAATAAATCTAAATCATCAATATCGAATTGATTATTATATGATTTAATGAACATTCAATATTTTTTCAAATTTCTATCATCTAGTAATCTTAGTTTTTATTGCTAAATAAAAAAATAAAAAATATATTCATATGCTTTGAATTATACAAATCTATTTTGAAGGGAAAAAATAACCTTATCTACTATGTATAAAACTAATCAACTCTAAAGAACTCTTCGAAACATTTTGAGATTTCATTATCAACATTCTCATCAAATTGTCATTTCCTACATATCACACGTTTGTTATAAAATTCGGGTTCTATATTCATTTCAAGTGCAATTTCCTTGGTAGAAATTATAGCAGTTTCATATCCTTCTTCACAATTTTTTTTTAAACTTATATATAGCCTATTAGGTGTAACAAAAAATGACCCTCTGCAAATGTGGGGTCTAATGCAGTTGATTTACTTACATTATGGAAGGGCAACCCGCGAATGGGGTTCAGTTGAAACTCCTTAGCTTTCATAAAGAACTATCACTGCTCAATAATGCTGATTTAATATTAATGATTTATATAATTAATGATCGAGCATTAACGTATAACATAACTATAGCTGACGTACGTGAGATTTGGAAAAAAAGGATTAATTATTCTAAAACCACTATTTATAAATTACAAGCAAGGAATGTTATACTCAACTTAAATAGTTGGTGGCTGAAACATTCCTAGCTATGAATTTGTGATTTTCAAGAAAGCTGCTTAACCATTCTCCTGCAATGGCGGAGCAGCCATTTTCGTTGATGAACTCTAGTCAATAGTAATAGATTTTTTAAAGTTGTTGGAAAAAGGAGAAAATGGAAGATATAATTATACCTACCAAATAAGACACGCTACGTAAAACTAATGCTAACATTTTACTTGTTATTTTGGATTAATAGAATGATGATATGCATGATGTAAACACCGTTTTTGGTATAAATTATACTCCGTTTTACTTATAAGTTTGAAAAAAATTACTCAGCCAACGATTTAATAAGTTGAATTAATTACACTTATAGAAAGTCTCCCAAACCAAAATCCATTTTCAATCGTCCACTGAGCACACCTTCTCTTTTTAATTTTTTCCATGTATTGTTTGATTTTAATTTTCCTGCAGATTGCAATCTAGAGGTTTGTAGCACAGATAATTATGTTCTTTCATTTCAGCAATTAATTTATTCATGTAAAGCATGAGTTGTTTTAGTGCGGGACTCCTCATGAATTTGATATTATTAAATTATAGTTTCCTCAAATAATTAGTTTCAGAGTCATCTGATCAGTTCAATGAGAAAAAATGGTTTTCTTTCTTCTGTGAAGGAGAGTTCTTGCTAAATTTAGAAGCATGAGAAAGAAGATGAATAAATAACATGACACTAGGAAAATGATGAGTTCTAGACACTAATTTTTAACAATAATAAACCCTGTGTAATCTCACAAGTGGGGTCTGGGGATGGTAGTATGTACGTAATCTTACCCCTACCTTGAGAAGATAGAGAAGTTATTTCCAATAGACCCTCGGCTTAAGAAAAGATTAAAAAAGCCAGTAACAAAGATAATAAGAAAACTGAAGCGAAAGAAACAACATGTAGCAATCAAAATATAAGAATAAGAAAACACAAGACTAGCACTAATACTACTGGTTTGAAAAAAAAAAAAACATTCTCCTACCTACTAACTTCTACCTAATTCTCATGAAGGAAATGAAGATTTGCTCAAATATTGCAAGAGAAGAAACTTTGGCCTTCCAAAAATAATTCAAGAAGACGACGATGCCTATAGTGAAATACTATTTATCGGAGACAGCATGGTGAATAAATGCTCAATTTCAATCGAAGAACCAATAGAAGTTACTAAAAAATTCTGTAAATTGTAATTTTATTTTAATAAGTATTGAATTTTTTTTAATCCATTAAAGTTTGTTTGTATTTAAATATTTTTTTATTTTTAATTTAAAATTATCCTTAAGTACATGTACCACACCCTTATGATCGGTAGGGGTACTGGTAGGGCACGGATAAAAGTGATTGATAAAATGTCTAAGTGGCCAAAACATGAGTATTATGAAAGTGATTGACGATTATGAGAGAAGCTCTGGCCAACTGGTCAATAGGGAAAAAAGTTTCTTTTTGACTGCTCCTAACACACGTGCTCTCAGAATTAATAGGATGAGGGATTGTACAGGTTTCATGGACAAAGAATTCCTTTTTAACTATCTCGATTGCTTTCTTTATGTGAGCAGAAAGAAAGTTGCTTATTTTGACAACATGGTTCACAAAGTGATAAAAAGACTCCATGGTTGGCATGAAATTTTCCATGGAGGAAAATTGGTTCTTATTAACAGCGTATTGCAATCACTTCCTATTTATACCCTTTCTGCTATGTGCCCTCCTAAAGAAACCTTTCATCTCATTGAAAAATACTTTGTCAATTTCTTCTGGGGAATAGATGGTGATCATAAGAATTATCATTGGCGATCTTGGAAGAATTTATGCTTTCCTACTGATGAAGGAGGCATAGGAATTAGGAGAATGGAAGACATTAGTGACGTTCTAGCTGTTACGCCCCGCAGTATTATGTCAATATTATGCCCTGCAGTAATATATTATGATGATGTCACGCCCTGTAGTAATATATTACGATGATGTCATGCCCTACAGTATTATATTACGATGATGTCAGGCCCTGCAGTATTACATTACGATGATGTTACACTCTGCAGTATTATATTATGACGATGTTGCACCCTGTAGTATTATACGTGAAATTGTCGTAAGATAATTGACCTCAGTACAAGGAAAAGATTATTTGGAGATTATAGGTATTGTGCTATTTCAAATAAGTGATGAGTAAATTCGTGAAGGTGAGAGGGTAAGCAAATCGAAGAAAATAAATTTTTGTCGAAGTTTGACATTTTGGGATAAAATCCGACCCGAGCTAAAATATCGGGTACTTATGGACGAGTACCGTACAAGGTACCACATGACCATGATAGTAAGATGTATAAGGTGCGGTAAAAGTGAGTAGTATTTTAAATAAATTGAGATAATCCTTAATTATTTGAATTATTGGATAACAGAGGAATTAACAAGTTAATTAATAATGAGGTGATGATTAATTAAAGTCTTTGGATAAAGATTAATCCAAAAATATGGCAGTCCACAAAGCCATGGAAGTCATCATATGCAAGACAGTCGGAGAATTAGTTAAGTAACTGGGGCATAATTTTGAGAAGGATTCTCAAAACTCCGAAGCAAATCCAACAAATTTCGTCATATGCAGAATGGTCAACAAATCGCTTATTAAACTGGGGCAGAATTTTGAGGAGGACCCTCAAAATGCTAGTGCAAAGAAGTCGCAATGTCTCTAAAAGTGTCACTGTCATCGGTTCATTTAATTTACTCGATGTCATATACTACTATATTTTAAAATAACTATGTTTATCAAATGCATGCACACTTTTTGAAAACTTTATCTTTATGGCAGCTAGATGTTACCCATGGTAACTCGAACAGGACCTGCGGAGCGAGGCAAAGCAAAGCAAGCAGACGAAGACACGAACCAATTTCCCCCGCAAAACTCACGATCTTTTTTTGGATGCAGGCACACTCAACACAACAAGAATATTTGCAAGTATACATACATCAAAATCACTATCTTCATAATGACAAGGGTGCCAAACACAAACATGTCTCCAGATAAGAAAATACTCTGCCACTACTTATTATATGTTCTTGCATGAGACCAAGCATTGTCTCCTATTCGCATGAGGCTAACCCCTGCCTCCTTAATTGCGCTAAGAACTGCCTTTCCATGCATGAGATTAAGCA